TCGATGTTAAGTTCAATAACACTGAAGGAGGAATAAATATAGCTTCCTGGCTACTTAAAACATCTACTCCCAATGTTCTTGTTAGTGGTGCTTGATGATCCACCAAAGAACAAATAGTGGAAGAAGTATAATTGGTAGCACTACAACATTCACTACAGCGAAGCGATTTCACGACAGGTGATTGTGGGAATTTTGACTCGTTGGAACTGTATGCATCGATCTTAATACACGTACTGATCTTCAGGATCGGATCGTAGTCTCTTAGTTCGTGTTCTTGGGAATGCCTCTATCAAGGTTTGCTTGACGCTTTTAATTCACTTTGAAGCTTTTGAAGCTTCAGCAATCGCTTGTAACAAGTTTACTACAAATAAATGAACTCGAAGCAAACCTTCAATATCAACGGACGACTTCCCAAAAATATCAATTCTTTCCCTAATCGGAGGATTACTTGAGAATAAAAAACAACATTTATCAACATTTACTATCTTTCGGTAAGTTTCCATACGAACACCAGTATATTTTCATGTATAATATTTTCGCTTGAAAAACCCTTGATTGAGGAGAATAAAAACGTTATTTGTATAACGTACATTGTGATTGGTCACTGCAGAACAATAGCTCTATTTCTATTGGTTAAAAGATTTTTCGACAGAACAATGGGAATGGAATATAATGCTCGATTGAGCAGACGTTAGTGGGGAGGGAAGCGTTTACCGGACGACTACTACAATGGGTATGCAGCATAATATGGTGGGGAAATGAAGCAGTGAGGTAGTTCCACAGATGAGAGCACTCAAAGAACTTCAGTTCCACAGTGATCATGGACCACAGGAAGTTCGATTATGTGACCACATTGTAGTTTGCGGAACGTCTTAGCATTCATTGATTCTGTATCAGGCTGGCAGCTTTTGAATAAATCCAATACTTTGGGAAAGCTTTCATAGAGTTCTATATCTATACTAAAAGATTGCACCATAACACCATAATTAGGAATGACGTCATATTTTTCTCCTTACTCCCTCCCCGAAAGAAGAATGGAATTTTAAGCGATAATAAGCACGAATCTTCAATGCCTTATCCATTATTCATCATTGCATTGTACATTTCTCTATGTTGAGTCCAGAACAATCGATTAGTTTTGGACTTGGCAGACAGAGACATCTCTCATAACAGCTGCTATTCCTTGTTTGAGTTGAAGTTGAAAATAAAAGATATCACTAGCTATGACCTCCTCTGGCACCTCACTGAA